ACAAATTATAAACTCCAAAAAAGTATTTATTCACTACTATATCTAAATAAATTGCTGTCCCAGATCAAATCAAAATAAAACTATTTTTCAAAACGTAAATTAATTGTTACTTGAAGTTTCATAAATGATAAATAAAGGGTTACGGACTGCAATTTGTTAACCGATAAAACTTTTTAACTCGTAATTAATATTACCCTACACAAATTACTCTAAATATTCTCAAAAAAAATTCGTAACCTCCGAATAATTGAAATAAAAACGAATTTAATAACCATGTATCTAAATCATACACCATACTATACTCTTAATATTTAAATAAATCATAACTTCCTAATAAGTGAAATAAAAACGAATTTAATCATAAAATGTCTAAATAAAATATTTACTCACTCACTTAAAATCAGCTAGTAGGGGCCATGTCATCTAACGCCAAGAAGGGTATCATCAACCCTCGAACTCAAGTCAAATTCCATTCTTATCTCGCCAGTGCCAAGACGATCAAGAAAAAGGATGGATGACATAATAAGAAATGTGGCTTCTTAAATGCAACCTGGCAATAGAACTGCAGAGGTGGTGACAAATTGATGAGCACGGCTACTGAATGCCAGACTCAGCAATAAACTCTAGAAATATAAAAGATCTTTCTATATTGTATAATTAAAACGTACGAATAAACAAGACTTACTGCAAAAATGTGAGTTTTCGATCACACAACCATATCTAAAAAAAAACTAATTATTTAACGTCCTCTGCCATCGTAATACAAATCTGAAATGCCTCAAATCTGAGAGTTAGGGTATTATATATTTCCAATTTCAGACAATTTGTAATCATGTAAACATTTTTAATAGATAAGTGAGTGTGTTTATAATACACAACGGGTTATACGGCAAAATGCTCGTACTCTTCAACTCTAAACATAGACGAAATTAATTAGATGGAAACTAAAGCATGACGTACTTAGACATAATAAATAACAGTGTACGAGAAAGTGTGGTCACATCTTGGTACAGCACAATCAAAATATTGAGGGCCGTTATTTCCCGGAAAAGGAACGCTACAAATTCTCACTGTAAGTACGATGAACCAGTATTGTGGTGCAGCTGCCTAATAATTTCCTGATTTAGCATTGTGTAATCCATGAGCGCCGGCAGCATTGTGTAATGGCCGATTTACATTAGACGAGCGAATGCTCATTCTATCCCCACTCTAATAAATTTGTTTAGTGTTAACAGATCTAGAGCATTCTTTCGTTGTTCTAAAGAATGCTCGCTCGCTTGATGTAAATGATGTAAATCGCTCCCCGGAGCGATCTTTTCAAAGCGTTCTTGTGTTTAGTGATTGAATACGTACTTATTCCATTTAATTATGGACTGTTCTCAAGAAAAATGTCTATTAATGATAGAAGCCTAGCAAGTCGCAGCACATACTTCAAATATAACATTACATATTGTGGATTTAGATATTTTAGTCAAATGCATTGGGCTTTCATAGGAATCTCCAGTTGCCAAAAATCTTAAAGTCACTGCTAGCCTGTCATATGCAGGAATCGAGTCTCTAAAATTCGTACTTGATTTCCGAATTTTGTCGCTGATCACACATAATAAATGGTCAAAATCCTCTAAATCCATTCTACAAAAGTTGTGGAATTGACCACTTTCTTCTTGTCCTTGCATATTAGTCATTGTTTCACCTACACTATCCACTATCCTTCGTTGCATTAAATTTGTCGCCCACCAACGTCTCTTCCTTCTTTTCCTTTTGAGTGTCACAGAATTAACACAAATGAGGTATGAGCATTCGTTGGATCTAAATATTTTGCAGAATTCTAGTCCTTGGTTCTCATTTTTGCTCGTTAAGATATTTTGGTGTAAACGCTAAAAATAGCTTATGTAGATCAAGAAAGAATGCTCTTGTTCTATCTCTAGCTCCTTGTTCGTTTGGTTTAAACGCACCTTAAGGGGATCATTTGTACCCTCCTATCTGGAAACAAGTACATAGCTATACATGTATAGTTCTATATGTTGTATGGGTTAATAGTATATGTATATTCAAATGCATCCCCTAGAAAAGCAGATGCACCTCCAGAAAATAATCCTGGCGGCGCTCATGTTGTATTCTACCAAAAAGCTGTGTTAAAGCGCCAAGAAAAGTTGCCGGGAACAAGGGTACTAATACCCTAGGGACGATGATGAACGTAACAGATTTGGCTCTAGCCAATACCACATAACTGTGAAGAACCCTTTAATTATAGTATGTGTAGATATTTTATCAATGGTGTCAAAAATATCCATATAGCCTTAAAAATTCTTCTATAAATTCTTCGGAAATAAATACAGAAGTTGTTAAAATGTGAAAACAGTAGTTAATTTTGAAATTATTCCCATAACTTTATTAAAGAAAGTTTTAAGAAAGTTGAACAATTTTCGAGCTTAGTTCTGACGCCAAAACTTTTTGATTAGCTAACCTTTTTTATAGATTATAACTGAACTAACTATTCTAGCCTTTTAAACTTTACCTTCTTCTAACCGCAGCTCATCTACGCAAAATAAGGTTGTTCGTGACAGTTTTTATTTTGGGTAGATAGTTTAGATAAATACAGTCCGTCTAGTTTAAAACTAACCAATAAATCCTGAACACGTAAGTAATTTGTTTTATTAATTTATATAATTACAAAGAACCATACTTTATATATTAGTCCCCGATGATATACTCCCCATTTATCCCATTGAGCAGAAGTACCGCTTTCTTACTTCTCTATGTCGTTTTGCTTCAGCAGACTTTTATCATTCTATATTTATTATTTTAACAATTTATTGTGTAAAATGACATAAGGAACTAACAAACGCATGCAACTAACTTAACTACCTTTAATAAAAATTTACAGCATGCTTGTGGATGTGGTTTGCTGTACATCTATTGCCAACTGGTGGATACGTTTAAGTTTGTAGAATATTTTAACGCATTAAAATATCTCTCAGTTGGTTGTAGGTAATTCTTACCAATTTTTAAGTTAACAGCAAATTTTAATATGAATTTGAGGTGCTTTTTAAAATATTTACTTATGCAGATTTAACATTTCTAGACTAGGCTTAGATTTTTGGCTTTTTATACTAGCCAAACGGTCCGATTGTTGCTGTGAACTGGAGACACGTACCGTGGCGTTAAAATTTCCTTCCACAAACTGAAGTAAACTATAAAACTTTGAGAAAAGGAAATGCAATAGGTCTGTATAACACAGAACTATGAAGTTATTACAAAAATATGGAAATTGGAGAATGGCTATTAACAAAAGAAAGACAATAAATCCTTAACCAGAAGATGAAACATCTATGTACCTACGTACGGTTATCGATGAAGACAAGACAACAGAGATCAATAAATAACAATAACAATTGTGGATAGAGAACTCGAAAAAAGGCGAAAAATTTTGCTATCGGATAGATAAAATGAATGCAACTGTAATGAATATTCAATATGATATTTTAGTAGTACTCTTCTTTAGTAGTATTTCTTCTTTAGTAGTACTCTAGTAGAAATCTTCAAAAGTATACTGTCAAATTTTATGTCGTTCGGATTGTTACTTACCGAGTTACAGTACATGAAGTGACGGTACTTTTATTATGTTTATAAACAATGGATTCAAAACAATTTCTTGTGTTGATTTATCACTGTTATTTGATAATTAAAAAAATAAATAAATAAAAAATACCGTCCAAGCTGAGCAATGGCTTCGAAAATGTTACCAGGACTCTACTCTATCCATTACAACCCTTAAACGATGATTTAATGGTTGGACACCGATAATTCTTAGCTCTGTGGGAGGCTAAATGCAGTTACTCCCGAAAACATCCAAAAACGATGACAATTATTATGGAAAACCACAAAGTGTTCTTGCAAGATATAGCTTACACTCTAAAGTTATTAAAGTGTAGCATTTTGACTATTATACATGAATATCTGGATATGAGGAAGCTGTTTTCCAAATGGGTGCCGTGTTTTCTCACCAGAGAAAAACAACAACGAGTTGATGAATCTCGGTGTTGTTCAGACATGTTTAATCGTTTAATCAAGCGTTGGAATGATTGTATCGCCTCTAAAGAAGATTATTTTGACGAATAAAGGATAATTTTGGCACAAGATTCCCAAAAAATTGATGCTTTTGAGATGAGTTGGAGTAGAATGCTGCGCTTGCCTCGGACAGCTTAGTAGGAAGGAGGATGAAGTGACAGCGGACGCGCAAATTTGCTAGATGTGAGAACCTAGAGAAGATCGGCGTGAGACCGACAAAGTTGGAGATATAGTTTGGAGGAAGCCAAGGTTCGATTTGAGCTGTAGTGCCATTGGAGAGAAAGAAACTAATAACCACCTCAATGCGGAATAGCACATTATAAAAGGCGAAAACAAAAATATAAAGTGAATGATAGGCTTCCAATAAAGGAAAAAGGGTAAGTTAGTGGTACAAGGCACCAATTCTTATCTCATGGAAGTCCTGCAAGTTAAGCGTGAACATTTCTGCGATGAAAACAGGATATTGTTCAAGACAAAACGATTATAAATAAGAAGAAAACCATATGACTGTTGATGGATAAAATAAAAGAACCATATAGAGAATATTTTGTAACTTATGTGAATAACTTTTTATGTGAAAAATACCCCGCAATTATTGCAAAAGTTCTGATTTAGCGGTGTCTTAATCACTAACCCATTTAAAAACTTTGGCAATTTGCTAATTATGTAAAGTAACAAATGAGGATCAAAGATTAAAGTAAGTTAATTCATTTGCAAATAAATATTTTCTTTTACCGAATTTTTTATAGAGGTACAGCCAAAAAAATAAGAGCACAAAAAGCACCCGAAGCTTCAATCACTGCAACAATTATTTTCACCAATTTTGTCATGTGTTTACACTGCGATATTCAATGTTTAGCTTAAAAATTGGTGGTTTGTCCAACTTTATACACGTATACACGTTTTTTTAAACATTGTACTATGTTTAGGTTGATATCCATGGCATACGGTCAGATTGGTATGATTCAAGCAGCTGCCGGATTCTTTGTGTACTTCGTAATTATGGCTGAGAATGGTTTCTTGCCTATGAAATTATTCGGCATTAGGAAACAATGGGATTCAAAAGCAGTCAACGATGTTACTGATTCGTATGGACAAGAATGGGTGAGTATTATTCTCTGTAATATATAATTTCGTTACCACCAACAGCTCAAACGTTAAAAATCTATTTCGAGTTTTAGCGAGTTGTAGCAATTGTCATTAGTCGCGCGAGTAGCGCGCAACCTCTTTTATTTCTAGTAAGTCTACTACGCACCAAGAAAATAATTTCATCAACTAGCGAGGACTAATGTATCAAATGAAATCAACTGTTTTATTAATAAATCTGTTTTTTATGTAACAATAAAACACTGAAAACTTTGTTTTCAAGCTTCCACAAAATTTATTTTAACTCTTTTCACTACAGCTTTTTCGGCTGGTTGCCTTTCTCAAGTGATCTATTTTTAGCTTGCGTTTCTTTATTAAAGGCCTTAAGTTATCTTTGTTAGAATCTGTGGAAATCAGCAAATTAAAAAACACAGATATAATTCTGAATGACCAACTTGAGACAAACAGTTCTCCCCTCCTCAACCTATTTCATTAGAGACTATAAAGTGTAAACGCAAGCCAAACATAGATCACTTGAGAAAGGCAATCAGCCGAAACAGCTGTAGTGATAAGAGTTAAATTAAATTTTGTGTAAGTTTGAAAACAAAGTTTTCAGTGGTTTATTGTTACATAAAATGAATTTCCATCAAGTAACGGTCGAATCCATCAACTGTTTTTTTATTATAGACCTACAGAGACAGAAAGACCTTGGAGTACACTTGCCACACCGCTTTCTTCGTCTCGATCGTCGTTGTACAGTGGGCCGATTTGATAATTTGTAAGACTAGAAGAAACTCCATCGTTCACCAAGGAATGAGGAACTGGGCTCTCAACTTCGGTCTTATCTTCGAAACTGCACTGGCCGCATTCCTTTCTTACACGCCTGGTATGGATAAAGGATTAAGAATGTTCCCTCTCAAGTAAGTTGATACTTTTGATAGTATTTTAGACCACATATTGAGTAATTATTTACTTAATTACTCAATATGAAATATAAATATAACTAAATATAAATTCTATAAAATGGCAGATACAGCGGGAAAACAATTTAGGCTCAAAAACAGTCAGGTTCACAATTCACATTAAATTAAAAAAAGTGACAAAAAATTTTTTTGGCTTTAACCCGGCATTATACGCGCCGTAAACCAGTTATCGAGAGTTACATTTATTCCAGTTCCAGGAATTGGTTTAATTAATCTTTGTACGACTGAAAAGGCGGTATTGTCAAGTTTATAGGGCCCATCTAGTTGAGTCCCAACATACATTTCTAGATTATAGGTGTAATATGACGTGGAATCAACAAGTCCTAATATTTTGATTCCACAATTTGCAAGTTTATTCGGTATATATTGCCGAAATACACATTTGCCGCGAAATGACCCAAGCATTTCATCAATTGTCACAAATTCACTTAGAGCATAATTGGCTTTGCATCGCTTAACAAATTCATCAAATATTCTCTTATAGTAGATAGCTTATCGTACTGTTTCCGTTCCTCTCTATCATCAAGATCGTCGAAGGGAAGCGCTCGCAACAGAAATTGAAATCGATTAATTCCCATTGTAAGACGAAAAATCTGTACGCCGGTTCCGTCCTGTGTCCACAGATCCTCAAATGTAGATCTGATGAACGCAAGACTACAGCAACATATAGAACACCAATAAGTGCTTTAATTTCTCCCATATTAGTACTGGTGGCAGTACTGTCTTTCTCTACTGTAATTTGTCCGAAGCTTTAGAATATATTTGTGTGTTAAGCTATTTCTCTGATGACGGAGTCTGGAAAAAAACAATTGCCAAGCATCAATAATGGTTTTTATTTCTCCGGTTTTTCCAATTACTCCAGAATATTGAGTCATTATGTTTCTGCTCCAGGTCTTTTTTTTTAACAGCTACGGGTAATTTATTTACAACGTATTTTTGTCTGTTCCCGCAAAACAGACGAGTATTTAGATTTTGCTGAGTTTGGATAAAATCTGGTAGCTCTTCACCTTCTGATTACTCTGAATTGTTTCTACGGTGGAAAGCACACACCTGGGTTTTTGTAGGATTGAGTTTCAGATGATTTTTGTCATAGTAATAGTGCTAAGTCTTCTAGGGCATCTGTCAGTTTTACTTCGACTTCATTGAAGGTACTTCCCTGAGCTGCCACAGCTGTATCGTCCGCGTAAATAAACTGTCTTGTTTGTTGGTTTTTAGGTTGGTCGTTGGTATAAATGTTGTTTAGCAATGGCGCGAGGACACTTCCTTGTGGGAGTCCATTTTTTTGATCTCTCCACCCACTGTTCTTGGACTGGAGCGTTACGTAGAAGCGTCTATTCTAGAGAACACATTTCATTAACCTTGTTAGTCGGAAATCCTTTGTAATTTCGTAGAGTTTTACCAGCAGATGTTGAGGGTTAACTGTGTCATAGGCGGCAGTCAGGTCAATGAAATGGGCTATTTGATCGGGTGTGACTTTTTTCAGATTGGGTGCTGGGGAAGCGTGATTGTTGCCGAGATTCTGAATTAATTTCCAAGCGCTTCTGCTGTTCTTTTTTTTTAATGTCTAGACTTGTGATCAGCTTGCACCACCTGTCGATTCTGTTGGCGGATATCACATGTAGGACTTCCTCCCGGTCTGTATTGTTGCTTCCGAAAAGGGATCGTCTACAGCTGCTCGTATCTTTTAAGTAGTGGTTTAGATTTTTCATTTAGCCCCGCTTTGTGTTTAGTTCTTCAACCTCTAGAAATATATTTTCGTGATATTTGTTTTACGATTTGTACAAATTTATCGTATGGAATAGAGCACGGTTCTAGCTGGGAAACTTCTTAATTTACTGCTTCAGCGAATTTTTCCCATTTTGCTTTAGTGAAATTGAAATTTCTCTCGAAGGAAACAATTTCGTATCTGATTGCCGCGTTCAAAAAGCAAGTTATTGGTCTGTACTGTGTTTTTGGGAGGGCGCTTCCAACAATTTTTGTCAACTGGTCTCCAATATTGTCGTTGACAAATATATTGTCTGGGTTGTAACCTCTGCGCCATCTTCCGCTGTTGAAAGACGCGGGCTGTTTTCTACCATGAATAAGTTTGAGGTTTATGTTTTTAGCCCAATTTTCTAGTTCTTCGCCATTGGAGTCTGTTTCGTTATACCCCCATGCGATAATGTGACAGTTGAAGTCACCCAGTATGAATTTTACTTGCTGTGATTGAAAGTTATCCGGTGTCCCAAAAACGCGTTTGGCGGTTTGTAGATGGACTTTACCATACAAGACTTTAGTTCCACTGTGAGGATCTCGATGTCATCTCGATATGTTAAAGATGTGGAAACTATGTCGGTATCTGGTCTGACGAAGACTGCGCTACTATACTGGCCATGTGGTCTCTCCAGTACAAGTCTCACACCTCGAATCCTTGGTCTGCTGCTTGCAGTACCTCGATGAGTTTCTTGAAAGAGTAGGATATCGACACCATGTTCTCTGCACATATTAGATAGTAGATCTTCTTTATTTGCTAATAGTCCTTCAATATCAATTGAAGTAGTCATCAAAAATGGTCTTGCATTACTGTAGTGGGGTACTAGGACAGTAAAGAAAAAAAGCTGGAACAGTTTTATACAGGTTATAGAAGATTCTAAAAGGTATAAGTGGTATAGCTGATGACAAATCCTCGAAGACGTATAGTTGTCTTTTAGAACCTTTGAAACCTGTTTTTTAGCTGTTATTTTTTACTGGTCTACTAACTTATTTATATCTGTACATAAATAATCATCCTGAATATACGTGAATAATGCAATCCGTTGATTTTCTCATTGACCCATAATGTTTTTGTTACTACATACTTGCGCAAAATGGTTATGAGAAGAGTTTTAACTACTTATTACTAGTCGAATAAACATTTACAGTGATAATAATATTAATTGTTAATTGTTAATTATTTTTAGGTTCGTTTGGTGGTTGCCAGCCATTCCCTTCATGTTGTCCATCTTCATATACGACGAAGTACGACGATTTTATCTACGACGTTGTCCAGGCGGCTGGTTAGAACAAGAAACCTATTATTAAGTATTAATATCAGAGTACTGCCACTCAGTGGATGCTGTGAAAGCACAGCTTCGATAGGGAAGACTTCGTGAAACATAATAGCAAACCAGTATCAACGTGGAGAGGGAAAATGTAAAAGATAACGAAGTCTTTACCTATCGATAATTGTACAAACTGTTGCTACTATAGTAAATTTGCTGCTTTCTGCAGTTTGATATAGTTAAGTCAGGCGTACAGGACCGGCTTCGATGTCCATCCGAGTTATTCGTGTACGCTTTAGCTATTTATTAATCTAATTAATTTCGTAACAAATTACAAAATAGGTCATGTGACAAGAAAAAGTATGAACCTTAACCAATAACAATAAAACACTGTCTGATGAAGACGTTTTAGTCGCAGAAGCGGTATTATACATTCCATTATTTGGGGACTACAGTTGCCTTAGTGCTGTTTGTCGTACAGAGTAGGAATTATATGTTTTTCTTTTTAAAATGACCTTCATTGAACACTTTAACCGAAAACTAATGAGGTATCCGTACTGTTTTTATTGTATACTTAGGAAAAGTTGTTATATAAGCTGATATAAGCTGTGTGAGGATATTGTCATTATTTTTCTGGTTATCAGCAAGGGAGAAGAGTCTATTTTTAATGAAAATCATGTATAATCGAATGGGTTTAATAACATTGGTCTAATTATGTAATATCGATAACCAAAAAGCGTTCTAATATCATTCGCGGATAAGATCTGACGTTTTTATATCCAGATATTCGGTTCTGTTATAAGAACTCTTTTCTATATTCTAAAAAATCCTTTCGGTATCATGTTTTTTACCATTAACATCCCAAAACAACTTTAAACTCGACTTTTTTCTTGTTCTAATCATACAATTTCGATTAAGTGCCATAAAAAAATGAAAAAATATATTTTTAATAAGTTGGATTTTTTATAGATTTTAAATATCTCTCTAAGAGCTCTCTAAAATATATAAACTAAAGTAATAATTAATCAAAATATATAAAAAAATATTGAGTTACATGCAGGATGAGTGTGGAGGACGGTAACAACTATCAGGAGTGTTATACACATAGAAACAATTAACATAATGTGAAATGTTTGTTTTTTTTTAAATTTATTTCATATCTTCCATAAAGACACATCTAAACGTGGGCTGTGAGGTCTGGAGAAGTGAAGATAAAATTATAGGTGATAGCATTACTTAAATATCGCATTACCGACCAAAATTTGCAGGTTTTCCAAGAAAACCAGAAGACAAAGCTAAGCCTGTAAAATAATATATGAAAATTCGTCTTCATTTTTCTCTCTATATACTAATTGTTGGGGGCAAGGTTGTTTGCAATCGTCTTTGCTGTTTGGAAATTCTGGGTCCATTGATCTGACCAAAATATGCATACTTCACCATCATAAAATACGCTCTTCTTGATGTGGACATTTTAATACTTTAAATTGGTTCTTAAAAATGAAGAATCAATTAAATAGTATTGACTGTACGACAGAAGTTTAAGCTAGACTAATTTGGTTCATATATTTTTGAAAGAATGCGGAGTTATGTAGCCATTCTTCATGTACTGTCACGTCCGCAGAATAGATCTAAGAAAGTAAAACAAAAAAAAACTACGGAATTACCAGTGGTTGATTATGATGATTACAAGAGCTGACGAAAAAAAAAAACAATATTGTAACATAAAAAGAACATGAAAATATTAATCAAAAACAAAACATTTCGTAACTGACAAAGACGTTATATCTAACTTACAATAAAAAGTGAACAACATTTTAAGAAAACTTATTTATTAATAAATCGAAAACAAACAAAAATTTTATAAACATCAACACATTTTTGTCGAGTCAGAGTAAAATACCAACCGTTAATCGTTTTGACCTGAAACAATACTCCAGAAGTTTGTTACGTTAGCTCCACTAGGCTTTTATAAAAAAATTGGAAATACTTAACTCTCTTTTAACATTGGTAGTCGAAATTCCATGATTCGATCGTTTTTTAAACCCAATTGCGGAATAAAAGCGGCGTGGTACCTCGGTGGCCTGCCGATTTCGTTGCCTGTTAGGGTATGCCACTGAGGCGCTACGCGTTGTTCGTCGACTTCGTGAAGAAAGAGAATTTTTAGTACTATTTAGGCTTTGAACACTTAGGTTAGCTAGATTGTAACTGTGTTGTTATTCGTATTAAGTGTCAACCAGGTCGTGCTCAATACACAACATGACTATAATTCTCACAATTGTAAACATTACATTCAAAACTACAGTTACATGTAGAGTGCTCTTAAAATCCCTTCTTTAAAAGTCTTTACGTTACTAAGAGTTAATTTTGAAAAAGATATTTACAACGTTAAAATTTAAACCATATATTTAACACTACTATATTGCTCTGCTGAATGTACAAGTACCATTATTACAACGGGTTTCTATAAAAGTTATAAACGTCAACATAGACGTACATTAAATTCTTGTTTCATCCTCAAACATGTGTACTAAGCCGTCACTAGCGATAAGCAAGACAGTTAAACCATCGGTACATCTATCTATCTATATAGTATTGTTAAATATTATTTATATCACTTTATTATCGTTAAACTCTTTATTTATATATTGTTCCATACAACCTAGCCACAAAACTCATATAAGTTATCGCTCTTCAGTAGGTAATGGATCGCTAAACAGTGAGAAAACTTGTATCTGAATACGAGTACTAGCCCCACTGCTGACGCCATTTTTGGCATGACAGCTGACATACAGTCTGAGTATTTTGACCTCTAGACGGGGCTTGTAACGCTATTTAAATAGAAAACTTTCTCACAGTTTAGAGACGCATCACCGACTCTTTTTTATCAAGTTGACTGAATATCTCTATATCTCATTATCTGTTTTCGTACGTATATCCCTCAACGACTTCATAGTCGACTTGTTGCGGAAGTTTTTTTTTCGGAGATGACGTGACAATATTTTTGAACCCTAATGCAAAGAAGGATCTGAGTCAACCAAATATTCGGCGTTACTATGTTTAAAAATATTTATTTGGCGCAAATCCATTTTATATTTAAACTACGAATGTTCGAACAATGTCTATATGTTTTCATAGTTTTTTATTGTTAAAAGTTGATTGGTCGTTTTGTAATTGTCATCATATCGTTTATGAAACTACATTTTAAATATTTTTTGACATATTCTAAGGAGGAAGTCAACATTTTTATTGTCTTACCGCAGGTATAGCCCTGGAAAAATATATCTACATCTATATCTAGCTACATCTTGAAGTATATATTACTGTTTTTTGGCAGGTTGCGCGCGCAACTGTGAAGATTGTTACCTATAAATGTTTTTGGTGTTACATTTATAGATGTATAAAAGGATACACATAATGACGATAGAGTACCATATTGTTGGAAAATAATAAACTTTGACCACAACATACTGATCTACAGCACAGTCTTGTCTTCAGATTGGTTGCGTGATACAACAAACTCTAAAAAAATAGTTGATGTAAGAGTTAATCTTTGTTTATCGGCATAATCAAGTTAGGTCTAGGAATCAATGTGGATGTTTTTTTATATTTTTTACCTGGTTGCACAAGCTTTGGAAAACTTTATCTACACATGCACTTATAGAATATTGGAGTGGAACTTGATCCTGCTAGAAAATAACAAATTTAAACCTTTCAATTGGATCACATCTTGATCTATAGGCTTGTTTTAACAGAATACGCGCACATCGATATGAAGTTGGTTGCTTATCAATAAATCATTGCTACACCTGGCACGACAAATAAGAATAATTTGTGGTGTTGCATTTTATGGAAGTCTAAAACTACTAATTACTTTATAAGTACACGTTTCTTCTGGATTCTTACTATCTGTTATCTAAAGTTAGACTAAAATGTGTGGCAGGCTTGTTTATCTTACCCCACCATCTAAACTAACTCTTATAACAGATACTGGCTAGTTTAATTATAAAATGAACTTTGCATTAGGGTAAACGAAACGGTTTTTTTTCAGGGATCTATAGTTTTGTTATCATTTCGTAAAGCGATTTTGATTTTAAAGTTTGAGGATGTATAAAACTGCCATTTTCATAATGTAACTACCTATAGATCTATTGTTAAATAAAATATTTTGAAAATATAACTAAACTAGGATTACAAATTTTAAGATAGATATTATAATAACCTTCTATGTAAAAGTATTTTTGTGGATTTCAAAATGAAAATGGCATGGTTCAGTGAGCACCTTCTCATGCAGCAGGTAGTGCTCGGTTTCCATACTTCGTTTTGTATATATACTTTCATCATTTTTACCCACTGCGAGGGTTCGTCGTTTCAAATAATACTCGGAACGCGCCCTGATGAAGGTCTGCTTTTGTAGAGTTTTATTTTTTCATGCGTCACGCTCTGGTCTAAAGACCGGTGGACCACGGTATTGTTATCTGACTGTAAATAGTTTTAAGTGAATCACTTAATTATTTTTTGCTTGTGTTCTTTTCACATTCATGTTTTAGTAAGTGATGGAGCTGTATACATTTGGGTTTTAATAAAATGAATGATAGTATAGACGATATTTTATTTATAACCTTACGAAACGTTCGATTTAGAGAGGTCATGTGGTAAGGATTCATATGACTGGCAAGATGGATAAGACTCGCGAGTAATTTGTTTTTGGAATAACACATATTCAGATCTATTCTGTAACTTTTGACAAATCGAATAGAAATCACCAAGTCGAATCGTAATTACTTGAAATCGGAATGTTGGATATCTATCGCGTCGTTTTTGTGTTTGTATTGGCATTCTGTAACTCACATCGTAATCGGTGTAAATCGAAAACGTCAACTTCTACTTGACGCGCTCAGAAGTTAGTGGCAACCCAGCATTAAAACGCGAAAGAAGTGTTCTGTGAAGTTAAGTTACTGGAAAGGCTAGTGCTCGCGAAAAATTCATCAAAAAAGAAGATTATATTTCACGTCAAGTAGTTTTGACATGTTTTGGTTAAGTTTGAAAAGTTCGTTACAAGAATACAAGGACAGCAAAGAAAAAGACATTTGCTGAGCAGTTAAATTATTTAGTAAACTTTATCTAAATAAATAACACCACAGACTAAAAATAAAATTTAGCTACAAAAATTAATCAACCGCTAATTTAGATCAAAAAGTCAACAAATAAATGTCAAAACAACCAATGCGCAAGCGTCAAGACCAATTTCGATGTCGAAATTTGATCTCGACAGAGCTTGTCTAGTCGAAATCAATTTCTACACAACATTCCGATAGTAGAGGTCGAGATGAGTTACAGAATACCGATTCTTACAAATTCCGATCCGACTTGCTGACCTCTACTCGATTTGACTCATTTCTATTCGATTTGTAGTTACAGAATAGGGCTGATTAAAGTAAGTACACATTTTAAAGAATAAGTTAAGCAACGAAGTAAATTTTGATGATAATTGACAAAAAATAAGATGTATAGTTTTGAACTGAGTTTGTCAGTTTGTTAAACCATTGAGCCGATAACTTTGTTCTTTTTATGTTCACTTAAGCTGTTGGTTTATGTAATTTATTTCTTCTTTTTCCTTCTTGTATGTAGTATTTTAAAGCCTGCTTCTTCTTCAATATTAGCCTCCTAAATTGTTTAAATTATCATCGCACCATCTTTTTCTTGGTCTGTCAATACTTCTTCGTCCATTTGGTGACTTATCTCGTGCTATTCGTACTATCCTATCCTCTGCCATTCTACTAATGTGTTCTTTCCACTTCTGTTTCCGTTTTGTCACCCATCCATTTATGTCTTCTACTAGCGGATCAACTCGACATTGAGTTTTTTAAATGAAATTTTTATTTTGCGAGAAAAATTAAGCGATCAATACAAACAATATAAGCAAGAATATACATAACATTCATCAATAATAATGCAAGTAAAAAGTGTATTAAATATCACGAAATAATTCGTCGAAAGCAATGTTTTTTGTTACAATGTCTCCATTTTCTGAAACTTTTGCTTGGCACCGGGAGTTATGTAAACTTTTACTTTTTATTAAAAACGAAACCGGAAGTCGACCTCAAAACGGAATGCAATTTTTAGTTCATCAAATGTCGACATGGATATCATTTAGCAGTTAATTTTGCATGCTGATCACGAATGCGGTGTCAGATTTGCTTGATCTTGACGTTTTATGCGCGTTTCGGGTCACTTCCGGTGTCGGATCGCAACCGGAAGTACATATTTAGATTCGTCTCGACGAGACCTTTCGATCCATATATACATTGTGGGGTCTAAAACTTATTTAACTTCCGGTCATCTCAAACCGGAAGTGATATTTTTGTACCAAAAGTATATCTTGACAATCTCATACGTAATACTAATAATATTCCGAAAAAATATTTTAATTATGTAATATGGTTTTTGAGTAAAGTGGTTGACAAGAAAAGGGCTTAGCGTTTTAGTATATCGATACATTTTTTGGCAAAGTAACGTAAGTCACGAAACACGATTTGTAGAAAAAACAATTTTTTAATTCAACCTGGTTAAAATTATTTAAATTATGACTGAAAAAACTTGTCCTACTTGTTCTAAAAAAAGGTTTAAAGTAATTCGACGCTTACTACACTTTGGCAGTACCCTTTTAACAATAATAGTGTTAGTTTAATTGAAAAACATGATTTTCGCCAAAAATGTCACTTACGTTACTTTGCCAAAAATGTATCGATATAAGATATTGCATGCTCTTCTTATGTTTTCGTTTCTCTCCCATCCACAGACTTTCCCTGATATTCGTCGGAGTATTTTCATCTCTGTAGGTTCTAGTAGTCGTCTAATTTTAGATATGTTAGGTCTTGTCTCTGCCGTGTATGATAGTATAGGTCTAATATAGGCTTTATAGATTCTTGTTTTTGTGTCTTGTCTTAGGTGTTTGTTTTTCCAGGTTGTGCTATTAAGAGATACCGCCACTTTACTTGCTTTTAAGCTTTGCTATCGTAATTCTTCTTCAACATCTCCGTAACTAGTTATATCTCTTCCCAGATATCTAACCTTGCTTACTGCTCTATTATTTTCCCATCAATTTAGATTTTTGATCATAGTGGGTATTTAGATGTTGTCATACATTTGGTTTTTTCTGCTGATATCATATTGTATAAAGAGAAGTTGGCTTAACGCGTTTTCGAACTCCACATTGCCCTTGGAGGGGCAACGGTAGCCTTTAGATGGCCATGAACTATAAGTGCAGTAATTTGAAAAAAAAAATACAAATAGTCTCTAATTATTTTGTTATTATTAAAGGCGGTTACATTAATTTCTCTCATGTCCAACGAGAGTAATAGAAGGAAGAAAATGAATAATCCAATATTCAAACCGACAATCAGTTTTGATCAAACCTAAACCAAAGCGCTCCAACAAATTACCTCTTAGCTACTCTTTGAAGTCAATGAAGATTCGGAAAGAGAATTAGCTGTGTAAACGAACAAACGAAAGAGGAGAGATAGTAATTCTTTAGTTCTTTACGCCATACTGATATTGGGGCAATGATGTATCGTTTACGCAAATAATTACATATAAGTCAAAAAGTGTCAGGTCAAAAAACGTAAATTTAAATGTACAGGTCATTCACGCAAGTTTAGCATAGTCTATAAGCTGTATTTTTAATGAAATATCATGGATATTTTAATACTTTTATTAAAAGCTTTTTAAACACCTGACCTCAACGAACCATATTATGTAGGTCTATTATAAATAATTCAGGGTGAAATTTTAAAATAAATAAAGTGTGAAAAAACTTGTGTAGTAAATTTGTTTGTGCCCTTATTTTGTAAAATTATGAAAAACTCTGGGACGATAAATGCAGGGGATGATTCACGCAAGCCTAGCATAGTCCATCATCTTTTATCTTCCAAGGCCAAGATAAACAACTTAGTAGAAACAGTATCACCTTGGTGTATTACTTATCCAGAGCCCTAAGAATTGCCCATTTCTAAATTTCTACAGAATCAAAGGCTTTCTGGTAATTTATAGAATTTATGTGTAGACTTACATTGTATACCCCATTCGCTTAGCTCGCGCATATTTTGACAGATTCATTGTCGGAAACCTATAACACAACAATTTCTAATTCCCAGTATTAATAGCTCAAGTATAATACTATTACTTTCTTTGAAAAAAGAAGAATTATTCTAAATAGTGGAACTGCATACTAAACCCATAAAAATTTTCCTGTATATTTAAAATATAATATTTGAGTTGTTACAATTTAACATATTGTAGTAAATATTTGTATTATTCGCGTTCTTTATTTTAGCTAATATAGTTTTATTGTTCTATTATTTTTGTTTAATTCTTTATTCGTTCTAGTTAGTTAATTGGTTAGTTCTATTTTGAATTTTATTATTAGGGATAATCGAAGTTTTTCATTTGTTCTATCAGATAATGCGTTGGTAAGTTTTTCTTAAATAAATATGATAAATCTTCTTTAAAAGTTAATATTTTTAGATAAGTAAGGATGCTGTTAAATTACAAGGTAATCAAACTGTACAAAGATTTATTCAAAACACTAACCATTTTTTTTAAATTATTTGCTCATTCGGCGTAGATTGATTATTTAAATATATTTATGAAATTATGTATACCTATATGTTCTTAATAACAAAAACATTCCAGTTAACAGTACAGTTTGACATGGCATCAAAAATTAAATTCGCGAAATTTATAGCATGTATAAAGAAAGTAAGATTCCATTGTATATATAAAAAAATATATTTTATAAAAAATTAGAGTAATTTAGTTTATATAGTTTTGCTCCAAATGTAGACAACCAACTTAAACTTTTTGTTAGCATTTAGCTGGAGTTTCTTGAGAATATTTTTAATAAACGTTGAATATTTTTAAGTTAATTTATTGTTTTTTTAAAGTGATGAATAATCAATATTTCAAATGATATTTAACCACAAAACGTACTTAATATTGTGTTATATAATCCTCATAATAAAGTACGTTAGATAAAGAAGGTAAATCCCGGGTCGTCCAAAACTAGTTTTTGATAGGAATAACAGTTCGGATTGGGATTAGCGAACCAAGTATACTATGTACTTTTCTTAATTAGGGTTCATAATGGTTGATATACTCGGTTCGCTATTTCCAGTCCGAACCATGATACTATGACTAAAGGATCTTCCCGTAACACAAAATTGGTCGTGTTCGCGCATGCCGTCATTGTAGAGTAGAATTTGAATTCTTGTAAAAGTTAAATGGAATTTGTATGCATTCTGTGATAAAATTACTAGACGAAAATAAGTTAAGAGGTTTAATAATTACAATAATCGTATACATAAGGATATCTCCAAACTATTTATTAAAGCTTATTTATTGATACATACAAAAAACTGACATTTCGAACGTGCAATTTTCTAATGACGTCACGACTTAAGCACGATATCTTATCTTCTTAGTCATAGCATCGAGTCATAGCACAGAATAATAAACAATCAGAATGCCCAATCTCCATGGAAAATTAAGTACGCGTATCTCCTTCGCTCATGTTTTAGAGGGAACCAGTGTTGTTTATGTG